CTTCCTCAGGTGTAGTTTGACCCTATGATAATATCTGGTTTAAGAGGGCATGTCTTCCTCACTTTTGCACCAGAATACCACTCCAGTTTTTCCTAAGCTTGGCATGGCTGATTTAGGATTTGCCACTAGACAGATTCCATACATCCTCTTGTAATTCTGAATTCATTCTCTGATTCATGAATGCTACAAGGATTTTGGTGATCTACCCATGTTTCTGCCCAATTAACTAAATAGATATGTCACCTACTCCTGCCACATGTAGTGAGTGGATAAAAATTTAATCATAAATTAAGCCCTTGCCAGGTGCTAAGGATACAAAAAATAAAATTGCTTTTCACCTCAGGGAATTTATATTCTAAAAGGGACAAACAACATATAGACAGGGAAATGTAAAATAACCTCAGGAATGTGGGGAGGTCCTTAACAGTTGTCTCCTTCTTTTCTCCTTCCCCTTCCATTCTTTATACTGCCCAGTTGAAGTAAAACTCTACAAAGGCAAGGAATATGTCTCCACATTTTTGTGTCATCAACAGCTAGCTGGACCTTTAACTGTTTGTATTTCTCTAAGGCCTGATGGATTAAGAAGCTAGCATAGACCTAGGAATATAGTAAGAAATGTTCCCTATTTTTACTGATGAAATCACAGGTCCAGTCTCTGGCGTATTCATGTACCAAAATTTTTTTAGCCTCTTTTTTTTCCTGCTATAATAAGTTGTGCCTTTTCCCTCTATGAATGATTTCTTGGTGTATTTTCCTATATCTTTTATGACTAAATTTAACAAAATATAACTGCAGGACAAATAGTTTAGAAATGTGGTATCCAATTGTATCTTCAACAAAATTATTTGTAGAGACAGAAATGGATCTCTTATTAGTTATTTATGTGCTCCTATCAAGAAGGGCACCATATAAGAGGTAGCATTTGATCTGAGAATGAAGGGAGTTATGTTATTCCAGGAGTCAGAGGTAAGGAAGGAGAATATTTCAAGCAGGGGGACAGCCTATGTCAAGGTATGGAGGCCAAGGATAGACTGTCCTGCACTAGAAACAGTAAGCAGGTCAGTTTGGCTTGAACCAAGATTTCGTGAGAGGGAATAATGTGAAGTCAAATAGGTTTGGAACCAGTTTGGAAGGATGTTAAATGCTAGAGAGGAATTTGGATTTTGTCCTTGAGGCAACAGGGAGCCACTGAAGCTTGTTGAGTTATACTGAGTGAACTGGTTAATTTGTACTTTAGGAATACCAGGGTGGCAGCAGCAGTGAGGACAGAGTGAGACAGTTTGGATATTGTATTAGTCTAGACAAGAGGTGATGAGGGCCCAATCTAGGATGGTCACTGTGTGAGCAGAGAGGACAGGTGAAGTGTTGTGGACTAGCAACTTTTTTTGATAAGGCAGGGATGCTGAGCGAGAGGGAAGTAACAAGAATGACACTGGAGTTGCAAATTGGCCATCTGGAAGGATTGGCAGTGCCCTCAACAGAGGTATATGAGAAAGTGAGTGGATTTTGAGTGAAAATATAATGAACTCTATTTTGTACATGTTGAGTTTAAGATACCTATGGATCATCAAGGACAAGATGTGCACTCAGGTGTTTCCAATCAAATATCAAATACATTATTTTAATCCTGTTCACCCCCTAAATCCATAGAAGACAAATCCTTTCTTTTCTTTCTTTTTGTTTATTTAATTCAATATTATTAAATATTCTACATTTATTCATTTATTTTTAGTTTTCAACATTCACTTCCATAAAATTTTGAGTTCCAAATTTTTACCCCATCTCTCCCCTCCCCACCCCAAGATGATGTGTAAATTGATATAGGCTCAACGTATACATTCATATTAAATCTATTTTCATATTAATCATATTGTAAAGAAGAATTAGAGCCAATTGGAGAAACCATGAGAAAGAAAAAAACAAAAAAAAAGAAAAAAATAATATGTTTTAATCTGCATTCACACTCCATAATTTTTTTCTGGATGTGGACAGCCATTTTCTATCATGAGTCTTTTGGAGATGTCTTAGATCCTTACATTGCTGAGAAGAGCTATGTCTATCAAAGTTAGTCATCGCACAACGTGGCTGTTACTATAATGTTCTCCTAGTTCTGTTCACTTCACTCAGCATCAGCTCATATAAGGAAGATATCCTTTCAAAGGGACCTAGGTGGCACAGTTGCTAGAGAGCTCAGGCACTTATTACTGCTGTGACCCTGGGCAAATTGCTTAGCCTTTGCTGGCCTCAGTATCCTCAACTGTAGAAAGGGAATAGTAATAGGATCTGGTTATTGTGAGGATCAAATAAGATAGATAAAATACTTCACATGATTCCTGACACATAGTAGGTCCTTAACACTTGTTTCGTTTTCTCCTTCCCCTTCCATTCTTTATACTGCCCAGTTGAAATAAAACTCTACAAAGGCAGGGAATATGTCTCCACATTTTTTGTGTCATCAACAACTAGCTGGACCTTTAACTGTTTATATTTCTCTAAGGCTTGATGTATTAAGAAGCTAGCATAGACCTAGGGATATAGTAAGAAATGTTTAAATACTACTTATTTTGAATGAATCATATGTTTGGATTCTGTGGATTGATTCCAGGGCAAGGAATTAATCAATTTGAGGCAAACAAATGTGTAATGAACTATTCATTATGATACATAAACATTTGTGCTGTGTCTCTTATTGTACAATGTATTCTGGATTGTGATGATTTCCATGGTTACAAGTTTTTGAAAAAAATTTATATCTTTTTCTCTTGTGTTTTAAAAAAAGTCTTAGTGAGTTAAAAAAAATCATAGTTATCATTTCCTAGTAACCATCTTCTTCCCTCCCCCCTTCTCATTAAAGTACAGTTAAGGAAAAGAAATGAATGCATCAATTGAGTCTGATTGTGAGACTCATTCTACACCTGTAGTTTCTTCTCTGCTGCTCCCCTCCCCCGCCCAGCTTCTCTACCAAGAAGAAGAATGTTTCAGTTACCAATCATCTGGAATCAAGACTAATGATCTTTTAAAGTATTGTTTTCTTTCATATTATTAATGGTCATTGTGTATATTGTTCTCCTTACTTTGCCATGTATCAGTTCATACAGGTTTTCCTAATTTTATCTGAATTGTTCCTAGTCATAATTTCTTACAGAATAATAGTATTCTATTGCATCAATGTGAGAAGAAGTGTGGTGAAGTAGATAGAAAGCCAGGAAGACCTTGGTTCAGTTCTTTGCTCTTACACTTTGTTGTTGTTGTTGTTGTTGTTTGTCTTTTGTCCTTTGACTGTCTGACTTCTGGGCTACTCACCATCTTAGTTCCTCCAGGCAATTCTAACTTAGAGAGAAGTTGCTGGTCTATATTGTTGGAAGGAGTTTCCTGACCTCAGATTCCCTATTTTTACTGATGAAATCACAGGTCCAATCCCTAGCATATTCTAGCATATTCATGTATCAAAACTTTTTTAGCCTCTCTTTTTTTCTGCTATAATAAGTTATGCCTTTCCCCCCTATGAATGATTTCTTGGTGTATTTTCCTATATCTTTTATGACTAAATTTAAGAAAACATAACTGCAGGACAAATAGTTTAGAAATGTGATATCCAATTGTATCTTCAACATAATTATTTGTAGAGACAAAAATGGATCTCTTATTAGTTATTTATGTGCTCCTTTATTAGTTAGCCAGAATATTAGCAGTACCTACTCTTAAATCCAAGTTCACTATCCTTCTTTTCTTCCATAGTTTCCAAAAACATTGTTCTTTTGAGTCAAGGGAGTTACCGTGGTTTTATGATAATAGTTAAATAAATAAATAAAAGTTATGATAAGTAGTTGTTTTTAAAATGGCCTTATGGTATTAATTACAATAAATAATTTGAATATCGGCTTAAATTCTATTATATGAGTATTGTGGCTGTGAAGCATTCCAGTTATTCTTAGAATAGTTTGATACTGTCATATTGAGTACTTCATGTGTCTGCCAAACATATCTGGGTCTCATAGTCTAGAATGTGTTGCACACCTTGTGTTGGACTTAGACCCTTGGCTTATATCCTTGTGCTATTTGATGGGACTCTGGGGGTTTCCATAGGGGTAAGCCTAACCCAGTTCTGGAGAGGAAGGAGGGAGTGGGGCATTTTGAAGTCTGGGCTATTTCTAGGCTCAGGTTTCAAAGGCTGTTTGTTCTCTTTTATAACCTGCCAGAAAAGTCTTTGGAAACTTTAAGTAAGGGTTGATTGAAGGGAAGGAAGTGACAACTTGGCTTGGCCTTGCTTCACCTTATTCTACCCCATTTTTTCCCATGTATCATTCATGCTGACATGCTCTGTTCACACTACATTAAATTGTACCTGCTTGGTAACTTCACGTGTTTTATGTATCTGAAAACATTTTTCTGACATTAGGTTCATAGGCTTTACCAGATTGTAAAGGGATCCATGACAAAAAAAAAAGTTAACCTTTGAGTTGAAAGGAACCTTAGAGATAATCTAGTATAAATCTCTCATTTTGCAGATGAGGAAACTGAGTTCCAGAGAAATTGAAATTAAGTGACTCCTCCCATTACAAATCAAGCACTCCTTTCCTATGCCACACTAATTAGACTGGAGACCTTGGAATTAGTTTGGACTCAGGGTGAGGGCTGAGCATATTTGAGGGTATATGCACCTAAATATTTAGGAAGCACAGGGCATCAGACTGACTGACATTTCGTCCCTTTAAAAGCATCCACCTGTTATGACTGTGTAATTGTGCTATGATATTTCCTAACTGTGATCCACCTAATGTTTAATGTGCTTCCAGTCTGGTTTGACTTTTTTTTTCCCCCTAGGAAGAGGCTAAAATCTCTTCATTATAATATAGACAGTGCAGTGCATTTTGAATACAAATTTATCCATGTTCAGAGTAATTTTTCTTGTGATTGTCTCTACCCTGGAGAAGTGCCTTTAATGAATTACATACAAATTGTGTAATTTAAGAAGTTAATTTGGTTTTCTGGTTACACAGGACTAAGAACAGCCCTTGTAGAAAGAGATGATTTCTCATCAGGGACCAGCAGCCGAAGCACTAAGCTGATCCATGGTGGGGTGAGATATCTTCAGAAGGCCATCTTGAACCTGGATTATGAGCAGGTAATTGTGTATGCTAGTTGTTAAACAAAAATTGCTACTATGCTGTTTTCCCCTCTCCAATTAAATCAGGCTTTTAAATGGCTTTTAATGTTTCCTCCTGTTGGAAATATCTGTTTAATGTGTTCTGCAGGAGTATTTTTCAGGAGAGGCATAACAGTTTTTTTTTTTTTAACTGTAGTGTTAGAGGCAGCATGATGTAGTGAATAGAGAGGCCTGACCTCAGAATCAGGAAGACTTGGATTGGAGTCCTGCCTCTGACATATAGTAGGTGTGTGACACTGGAAAAGTCATGTAACCTTTTGTGTACCTAGGCAGCTCTCTAAGACTGAGATGTGGCATGGGTGCACACCTGTGTTGGGATGATTTCCTCAGCAGGAGTTCCCGATACCAGTGAAATCATAGTTTGAGTCCAAAACACAAATATCTCCCCTTCCCCCCTAACCCATTTATGGGTAATCTCAGGCCATCCAAGTGGCAGATTTGCTGAACCATGGTGTCTGAGCAACCATGATTCAGCTCCCCACACCAGCCCCCTACCCCCCAAGGTTTTTTTTTTTGTATTCCATTGTTTTAATTCAGGGGCAGTCTCTGGATCTTTTCTCTCCTACAGCTGTCACCATCTGGTCATGTTATCAGTGGCAAATTCTTAAGGGGAAAGAAGATTAGAGGCGTATTTTCCACTCTATAATTCTGCCTTATGTCCAGTCTTCCCAGACTGGAGGAGGCAGTGGCATTTTCTAGAAAATAAAAATTCGACAGAATTTTCCATCTCTGTTTTGCCCACGGAAGATTCTAATAACAACTTGACTTTAGTAGTTCTGCACCTGCCATTTCCATACCCCTCTTTGAAAGGCATCTCTGATCTGCAGTGGTGGGGGGTGGTTTGTGTAAGGGAAAAAAATCTAAGGGTACCTACCATTGAGTAATCTATCATCCCTTGCAGGGACAAATGTTTTATGGAGCTGGGGCAACCATAGAGGGAATACAAGATAAATGGTTTGTATAATCATGTAGCTCAAGTCAGGGAAATATCTTACATCTGGGAACCCCAATGGCATGTTTTCCCCCTATGCAAATACAGTGAAGGTTTCTAAAAATCCTTGAAGTTGACAGCATGATGTATTATTGGAAATATGATTAAGATATTTCCTGGCTCAGAGGTAGAGAGGGGTGTATGTATCAATCAGTTGGCAGGACATTTTTTCCACCCTTTGGAAAACACCATAATCTGTTACTGCCAAGCTAATTTTCCATATTTTGCTTTTTAGTACAGGATGGTGAAAGAAGCACTTCATGAGCGTGCCAACCTGCTTGAGATTGCTCCCCATTTATCTCATGCACTCCCTATAATGCTTCCGATTTACAAGTAAGCTTATTGAGATCCCCTGTGCTCTGTCTGCTCAGCTGGAGTTAGTGTGACATTGTCTTAGCAAGAATATTCCTACAGTGGGCTTTCCTTAATGCTTATAATTGGTGCTTATCTCTCTTAAAAATATTTTCCCTTACCCTATTTTAAAAGCATGATTTTCTCCAATGATTCTCTTTTGACATAATTTAGTTTTAAAGGCCTGATTTTCGAAGGTGACAATCACCCTCTGCATTTACAATTGGGAGCTTCTTACTCTAGTTTCCTTAGGCATTTTGATGAGCTAAATTTGCATGTGGGAAAACCAAAGGTATGAAAAGTGAAGCCAAGAAACACCACTTTTGAAAAATTTGACCAGGGATGCCTTGGAAAGTTCACATTGGCAAAAAGATTTTGAGCAATTTTGGTTATAAGTATTCTCTTTATGCTGCAACTTGAATTTGTATGTATTTGCCCATATTTACATTGGCATATTTTTATACCTAAATAGAAATTATTTGCATTGATTTTGTTTCTAATGGAAGAATAACTTAATCTGGTCATTCACAAAGCATCCTTATATTTCTTGGGAGGAATGATACACCCATGGATTCCAGGTTATCAGAGATCTTATATTGCCATTTTCATTTCTTTTAAAGGAAAATGAACCTTGTTTCTACCTCGCAGGGACCAAAGAAGTTACTACATAGAACTCTCCTAGCGTAAAAGGATAAGCTTTGGTCTTAATGTTCCTATAAAGTATTTTATACATTTTTCATGTAATAAGCTCATTGTTTTCATTAGATGCATTTGGTATTTATTTTATCGTACTGATAAAAGTATATTAATGTTCAGCATATACCAAGTAAGCTTTGTGCTTATTTAATCAAAACTGGCCTTTCTTCAAATGACACACTGAGACTAAATGCACTTTGAGGCATCTTTTTAAAAGAGAACCTAGAATATGCCAAATTAACCAAATTTCAAATTCAAAATGATTGTTAATGCACAAACACAAATTTTAACAGCCTATAGACACTGATGAGACCTTCTTGGGCTAGAGATATCAATTATCCGAAAAAGCAGGTTGTACATTACTCAGTGATTGTCAAGGGGCATGAACCCAAATTCTACAATTCTTTGTCCTGCTTTTGTCATCAATTTTGCCTTGATTACCTTAGAACACTCATTTAAATTTTTACCCATCAATTTCACTAATGTAATTCCCCTAGAGTAATATCAAATATGCTTATTAAATGCTCACATTTAATACCTTTTGCATTATGTTAATACACTTGTACTTAAATAAGAGTTGTAATGGTCAAGCGTCATCTTTTTGCTGTGATATTTAGTTTTCCTAAACATCATCTCCTTTCCTCACCTGTATTTTTCTTCCATAGGTGGTGGCAGTTGCCTTACTACTGGGTAGGAATAAAGCTCTATGACCTGGTTGCAGGAGCTCAGTGCCTGAAAAGCAGTTATGTTCTTAGTAAGTCAAGAGCACTTGAACATTTTCCAATGCTGCAGAAGGACAAGCTAGTTGGAGCTATTGTCTATTACGATGGTATGTTTTTCTTATTGTAAGAAAGCAATTATACTCCTGTTCAGTTTTGTGTCTTTTACTGTATGTTTTAATGACTTCCATTAATTGAACATGTATAATTAGAAGAAGTAAGATTTGCTTGTTCAATAACTTCTTAGAGTTTTGTGAAATGATTATTTTAAGTTATGCAGGTTAACCATGGGATGACTTTCCTTTGGGCAAGCAGAAATAAAAAGTAGTCATGCATTTTCATAATAATGGCCAGCAGATTGTGGGTCCCTTTCTATTTGGGGGAGCATACCATACAATCTAACTGAAACTAGTCAGTGATACTGGATATTCCTTAAATGTCTGTAATTAATATATGAAATTGTATTACCATAGATTTCTAATAGTAGATTACTATCTAGTTGATTCATTTGGAGATCTCTGATCTCTCCACAGAAAACTAAAACTCTAGAGTGATCCTTAGGATCAATTTGCTTCCTGTTTTAAATGAGCCTGGCATAGTTTTAATGAACTTTGTTCTTTAATGGGCTAATCTTTCTATATTGTAGTACTTATAAACCATGATTATTAGTCAAAACTTGGTTTGTATGTGAAAAGTAGCATTTACGTGCTTTTCTGCACATAGACATTTCCCCCAATCTCCTCTTGCCATTTCATTCTTCTGCCCAAAGTTGTTAAGCCAAATATATTGTGAGAATCTTTCAATGGCTTTTTGATTCCTTGAGACTTTGTGCTTTATTTAAAAACAACAAAAATTCTCTCTAGGTCTAGATGAAGGGCTCCCCATAGTGTTTATGCTTCTAAAATCATTTATTTTGTATCTTCCCTTTCTTCCTGGATTTCAACTTCCTGTCTCATGGTTGGTTTGGTCCATTTTCCATCATCATATTTTCATGGATTTGGACCCCACCCTGTGCCATTTAATTTGCTGTGTCTTTGACAGAAAAGACTTGCCTCGTGAATATATTATAATGTTGCAAGCAGGCATAGATCTGTTAGGTTTCTAGATGAAACCTCTATTTTCAAGGGGTTATAAACTCAGAGAAAAAATGCCCTCTGGGCTGAAACTAGACATATATGTACTTTTCCCAGGACACAATTTTTGTGCATAATATTTAAACAATGAAGGTAGGTAGATGTTTGAGTCTGTGAAAGTAAAGCAGTTTTTCTTTTATTGTTTTATTTGCTTTGTGAAAAAGTACTGTTTTATTAAGTGAAATTTTATATTTTTTTATGTCTCCAATGTTGACTGTTTATACACTTTACTTGAAGGGAACCTATTTAAAATAGGATCCTTAGTGTATTTCTGGTTGGAAAGCACAGTGATTTCTGAATGATGCATAAAATGTTTGGAGGAGGGTTGTGGTATGGAATAGCCTAGAGGAATTTTCAGTTGCATGGATATAACTGCATGTACATAATGATAAATGATTTTTTAAAATCACGGAATTCTGTGGCAGGAAGAATATCTTAGATTGTGTGCTCAATATTCAATGAAGTATTATTCCTGTGGTGCGGTTTCTTGTATTTAGTAGGGCATATCCAATCTTACCTTGAGGGAAAGTTTAATTCCAGCTTAATCCACTATGACTTTTAAGGGTTCCTAATGTTTCGAGACCTCACTATGCTATGAAATGTGTTTAAGTCTCCTTCCTTTCTGCTCCTTCCCTGTGTTATGTTCCCGAATCGATTTAAATACTTTCATTTGTCAAGCTTTCAGAAAGGAAGAGAGAGAGAGAGAGGAGAGACAGTATGTGTGAGTAGTGAGAGAGAGAGAGAGAGAGAGAGAGGAGAGAGAGAAGAGAGAGAGAGAGAGAGAGTGTGAGGGGCAGTAGGGACCAAACTCAAAAAAATGCCCCAGCAGAAACAGCATTAAAAAAATCTTAAGAGTCTTATACAAACATTAAAAGCTAGAAAATTCACAGTTTGAGTTGTCTTCCAACATCTAAACACCACAGGGTGTCCACTTAACTATTTTCTTGGTGCCCCCCTGTTGTGCCTACATGTTAAAGGACAACCTTAACTGTGAATTTCCTCTTTCTGCGTCAGACCCTTAATGTTAATTCATTGTAGTTTTTATTGGGTGATTATATAAAATCAGTTCCTTGGTTTGTGAGGGAAAAAAAGGCATTCTGTAAAGAGCATCCAGCTCTCCTAGCTGGCATGGAAGCATTTCCTGTTTTTGCCCCTTTTGAATTATCTTTAACCTCTCTCCCACATTCCTATTTTAGATGCTTATTCACTATTTCCATCATACCCAAGGTATTCCTTTTAATGTAATATTAGTTTAAAAAAAGTATTTAGAAGAGATTTGAATCTTTACAGCAGGGTTTCTTTTAATTTTTTTCATGTCATGGAACCCTTTTGGTAGTCTGGAACCTTTCTCAGAGTGTTTGTTGGTGTGTTAATAATTTAAAAGAAATGTTAAATTTCAAGGAGATGTTAATGAAAATAAAGATTTAATTTGTTTCCCCACCAAGAATCCCTGAAATCTGTCCATGGTCTTCTGGACCCTAGATTAAGAACCTCTGCTTTAGATGGCTATTTGAGAGAAGGGCAGTGCACCTGGTTTTTATGACATCTTTAGTGTTGGTGATGGAGTTTCATAGACTGTTGTGTCTTTTGTACCTTCTTACCTTTAGGATAAAATATGAACTTTTCTGTTTGGCCTTTGAAGCCCTCCACTGTCTGATTCTAGCTTACTCTCTAGTCTTGCTGAATGCTATTCTCCTTCATTCACTTTGTGTTCTGGATTGAACTGTTTTGGTTGCTATTCCATCTGCATAACATTATGCATTTTGTCTCCTTGATTTTGCACAGGCTCTCCCTGAATTCCAGAAATATTCTCCCACCCCTCCCCCAGCTCATAGAATCCATAACTTCATGTCATTAAGTGCAACCTCCTTCAGGAAGTCTATCCTGATTGCTAGTACTATATACATACATATACATACATACATAATGTATGTATGTATATGTATATATCTTTGTGTGTATGTGTATAATTTTTATTAATCTTTTGTTTTTAGATTACCTACATTTCCCAGTATATCACTCCTACCTCTTCTGCTTGGACAGCCATCCCTTTTAAATTTAAAAAAAAATTAAGAGTTTGTAAAATATAAAAAAAATTATGTTTAGTATTTCACATCTATGGCTCTTCCCTCTGCAAACTCCTTAAAGAAGCCATGTAAAATGCCTTCTCATACCTCTGTTCAAACTGTATTTGTATTTTGTGTTTAGTTTTTTGTATAGACTTTTTACCCTTTCACCATCTTCATGTGGAAAAGAATAGAAATTTCTTGAGGACATAAACTATCTTACCTCTATGTTGGCATCCCAGTATGGTGCCTGGCATGTGGTAGACACATAATAAGTATTTATTGTTGAATCAAATTGGTGATTTGGGCTAGACTCTAAATGGAGACAGCTGAGCTACTTGTTTCAAAAATGGGAGAAAAAAGGATGCTGCTGGAGTAGAGTGGTTTTCAGATTTGTTCTTTACTTTGTATTATGTCATAAACTTCGAGTTTAGCAGCAGTATATTTATTCTCATTTTTTAGATCTATGGACTTAAAAGTTAGCTTATTCATAAATTGAAAGAAATGTTCTCTCAACTTTTATTTTCTGTTTCTAAAATAACATGGACACAGCATAGCCTGAAAACAACATAGGAATATGGACGCTATGTGGAATAGTGCAAAGGGCTTCTGGGTTTGAATCCTGACTCTATTATTCTCCAGGTGAGGGTGGGCAAGTTATTTTAAATTCTCTGGGCCTGAAGTGTATTCATCTGTAAAATGAAGGATTTAGATTGCATAATCCCCAAGGTTGATTCTAACTCTAAGTCTTGAATTCTGTGAAGTCCTTTTTTCTTATGAATAAGGCCACATTTACATATATGGTCATTTTGGCCTACTGGTGTCTATAAAAGATAAAATAACAAAGTTGAAAATAAGTATACTTTTAGCATCACTTAGTAACATCATTTTACCTCAGCTTACTAAATACATATATGTCTGACCATTTATATTCAAGTTAATCTATGTTCTAAATGTGTTGGGACAGATGGTTTGTTAAAGGAATCCTTTAGTGGGTAGGGTAAATGAGATATAGGCAGTTAGGTGGTGGTACAGTGGATAAAGTGCCAGGTCTGGAGTCAGGAAGACACAAGTGCCTCAGACACTAGCTGTGTGACTCTGGGCAAGTCATTTAACTCTGTTTGCCTCAGTTTCCTCAAGTGTAGAATGAGTTTAATAATACTTCCGAACTTCCAAGGTTGTTGTGAGGATAAAATGAGAAAATATTTTGTTGTCACACAATTTTCAAACCTTAAAGTACTATATAAATGCTAGTTATTATTATTGTTGTTATTAGGGGATAATGTAAATGATCGCTTGATTCATGTTTTGTAAATAAGTCTTTTATATATTCATATGTACCTTTGCATAGTAGGTATTCAAAATATAGTTGATCAGTTGAGTCTTTGCCTTCAAGCTCCCTACTTTTTGGTCAGGCCTTACCTTTTGGTGGTTGTAAAGGGGAAATAACTAGATAAAAGTCTAAGCAGGTTGAGTCTAAACTGGCCAACGATTTGGTAGAAGAGCTCCCTAGGTAGCCTTAGACCTAGACTCTCACCTCTCTTCCGACCATCCTTTACACAGCTACCAAAATAATCTTGATAATGAGCAGGACTGACCACTCATGTTCCTGTGGTATTTTACCCAGTTCTCTCCTTTGTGCTTATGTTCTTACCTTTTTCACTTCTACTATGGGTACTTTTTCTATGGCTTTCCTCCCACCCCCTACAATTGGCTTGTACTTTTTGTTGAGGGCAAGGTCTTTGTTGTGTGTTGATCTTCTTACACAAATGCCTTACCTAGTAGATAAACTATATGAATTTCATCTTACCATCCAGAAATTTTTATGTGCCAGCCTACAGGGTAAAATACAAAACTCGGCCTGACATTTAAAGCCTCTGAGTGTTGTTGTTTGTTGTCTCCTCTACTAGA